AGAAAACTTTTTGGAGCCACTCTCCTCAGCCACACCCTTTTTGGTTGACTCTTGACCCAGTTTTCTATAATTCATTTGAAAAGTTTGAAAACCACGTGAATCAAGATTCATATCTTTTGGTGGGCTCCATCGCTTTCTATACCATATGTTACACTTTTATTACTTTATGCTTTTTTTTTCTCTTAATTATAGTATAAAATATAGATAATTGTTACTTATATTTTTTGTAATTATAAATTTTATCAAATCATTTTACTTAGATTTTTTTTGCTTATTAGCAGCTTACAAATTTTTTTCCAATTAGCGCCTTATAAATAACCTTTATATTTAGATAGAGTTAAGTTGTTAATTTTATGTAATAATGTTATTAAAATATTCTCAATTCAAAGTTAGTTAATTCATATATATTTAAATTTTTTTAATTTTATTAGATAAAATTAACAACCTAACCATTTGTGAGAACAAAAATTCTCCACCATATACAATTAATAGAGGAAAAATTACCTAGAGAGAACTAATTGGAAAAAAAACACAAGATTTTATATAAAACAAGTTAAAATTACAAGAAGAGCATGTTTGATCTGACTTTTTTTTAGTTCAAAAGTTATTATAAAGCTTTTATAAAAAATAATAGCTTATAAAATTTAGCTAAAACTATTTGTTGAATTTACTTTTTGTAAATTCTTTTTTATAGATAAGCTATTTGGTAAAATAACTTATATAAACTTTAATTTTGATTAAAATTACTATAAAAGATATTTAATAAATCAAGAAAACGAATTGAATCAAATAAAAAAAGATAGTGTGAAAAAAAATAATATCCCTATAATATTATGAATTATTGAAAAATAAAAGAAGAATATAAAAAATATTTGTTGTTATATTTTAAAGATTGGCTTAAAATTTATTATCTTTGGAGTTGAACAAAATTGATGTTATATACAAGGAGGAGAACTCAAGGTGGTATTAATAGTGGATCCAACTGGGCTAGAAAAATCACATTTCACCATTGATTTGGCAATTCATTTTTGTGCTGAAATCATCAACTCTAATTCCATGCAAGTCTATCAAGGTCTTGATGTCCTCACCAATAAAGTTCCCCTCTATAAACAAAAAAGTTTTGGCTTTTATATTTTTTTCTCATTTTTTAATAGGTTATTTATTTTGTCAAAGAGTATCACATCATTTGTTGAGTACTGTTAGCTTAAGTGTGAAATTTACTATTAAGAAGTTCAAAGATTCTATAATTCCTATTGCTAAAGGAATTAAAGTCTATTTCAATTTTCTTGTAGTGCAGCATATTGTTATACCTAAAAGAAAAAATTCTTTAAAATTGAGTTACCACAAATTAGTACAAATATTAACTTTTCAATTTTCATTTAATTTATCTCAATAATTATTAAATTATTTGACTAATTATTTTAATCATAATAAACAAATATTATATATACCCAAAAAAAGTTAAGAACAAATCAACATTATATAATTGTCATATCAAACAATAAAGAGAGTTTTCAATGCCAAAAAAAGGAAAGATAGAAAATAAAATGAAAAACAAAACAAAAAAAGAAATAATACCTATATACAGTTTTGAATTTTGAGTTTTCTTTTTCTTTAATTTTTGTAAGAACAAAAAAAAACCCTAGAAGAATGATTCGCTGAAAGGGGGAGAGATGAAGGAGATAAGGAAGAGGTATTTTTTGAAAGAGGATCCTTTTGAAAAAAAAATAACTCTCCTAAGAAGCTGATGTATTTTTAAAAAAAAAAAAAGAGAAGAGAAACATCTTATTTGGAGTTTTTTTTAAACTTTTTTTTTTTTCAAATTTTGTTCCTTAAAAAAACCTATTTTTTTAAAAAGCTTTTCACAAAATGTTGTTTGGTCCAATTTTTACTTTTCAGAAATAAATAACCTAAAAATAAGTTAGGCCAAACAAGCACAAAGTGTAAGTGAAGCTTATCTTAAAATTTTTTTTTTAAAAAAACCTTTGTTGTGCATAATGTTTTCTTAAAAGGAAATTTTCTAGCTAAGGTGGTAGCATTTTATTTTTAAATAGTAGCAACTTAATTTAAGAACTTATTGGATAATGTAATCTTTTTTTTTAGAACATGTTTGGCCTGACTTTTTTTAAATTTAAAAGCTATTATAAAGCTCTTATAAAAAATAATAGCTTTTAAAATTAAGTTAAAATTGTATGGTAAATTTACTTTTTATAAGCTTTTTTTATAGATAATTTGTTTTGCAAAACAACTTATATAAACATTAATTTTGATTAAAATTACTATAAAGGGTATTTAATAAATTAAGAGAAAAAATTTGAATCAAATAAAAAAAGATGAGTGTGAAAAAAATATAATTTCCCTTATAATATTATGAATTGCTGAAAAATAAAAAAAGAATACAAAAAAAAAATTTGTTGGTATTTTTTAAAAATTAGCCTAGAATTTATGACTTTTAAAACTAAACCAAATTGATGTTACATACAAGGAACAGAAACCAAAAAGAAGAAGGGAAACTTAAGCTGATATTAATAATTGATCCAATTAGGTCGGAAAAATCACTTTAGTTATTAATTGGGCAATCCATTTTCTTATTGAAATCATCAACGCTGATTCCATGCAGGTCTATCAAAGTCTTAATGTTCTCATCAACAAAGTTTGCCTCCACGAATAAAAAAGTTTTGACTTTTATATTTTTTTTCATTATTTTAGACAAATTTTGTTGATTTTCTTAATGTGTTATTTATTTTGTCAAGAAGTGCCATATCATCTGGTAGATACCATTAGCTCAAATGTAGAATTCATTATTAAGAAGTTCAAGAATTCTACGATTCTTGTTACCGAAGGAAATAAAGTATATTTCAATTTTCTTGTAGTGCCGTCTATTGTTATACTTAAAAGAAAACATTCTTCAAAACTGAGTTAATACAAACAAGTACAAATATTAACTTCTCAATTTTCATCATTGTATCTCAACAACTATGGACCTATTTGACTAATTATTTCAATCATAATCAACAAATATTATACACACCAAAAAGAAGTTAAGAACAAATAAATATCATATAATTATCATATCAAACAATAAACTGAAAAATATTAAACAATAAAGAGAGTTTTCAAAATCCAAAAAAAAAAAAAGAACAATAGAAAATGAAATGAAAAACAAAATAGAAAGAAAAAAAATAATATTTGAATGTAGTTTTGAATTCAAGGTCTTTTTTTTGCTTAATTTTTTTAAGAACAAAAAAACCCTAGAAGAACGATTTGCAGAAAAGGGGAAAAGAGAGGGAGATCGATAAGGAGAGAGGAAGGAAGTATTTTTACAAAGAGAATTGTTTTGAAAAAAAATAACTCTCCTAAAATGCTATTATGTTTTTTAAAAACAAAAAAAGAGGGAAAAGAAAGTTCTTATTTGGAGCTTCTTTTTAAAAAAAAATTATTCTTTAAAAACGGTTGCTTTTTTTCAAGAGCTTTTCACAAAATATATTTAGTCCCGTTTCTACTTTTAAGAAGTAGATAAATTAAAAATAGATCAAACCAAACAGACACTTATCTTCCTTATATCACCCAACACACTAAGCTCATGGGACTATTTTCATGGAACCATAGAAACTTTAATTTATTATTTTTTTAATTATATACAATTAATATATAAGGTAAAAATACACTAATCTTCTTATTTTTTTTATCATAATTATAAATAAGTTCATTAGTGTTTAAAATAAATAATCCGCACTAGACACATAAATCCTACTATTAATCAAACGTCAATTTTTCGTTAGTTTAATATTATGGTAATATTTTTATGATAAGTTTTTATCTTTTATTAATTTTAAAAATTATCACTATATAAATTATAATTTTTTATTTTTAAATTTTTTTTCTTTTTTATTAAAAAAAATGCTCTTCCAATCAGGCACCCCACAGCTGAATCTGGCCAAAGAGTGTCAAATCTAGCTAAATCGGTGCTCCCCAAGGGAATACCAAACCAATGCTCTCCCAAATCGCTCTCCCTAGGGGAGTGTGAGATCTAGGTGCGTGGCCAAAATTCGCTGCAAGGCGGTCGATTGGCGTAAAGGAGCACGCATTGGCCGGCCTGACAGAAAGGAAAATAGTAGAGAAAAAAAAATATTTTAAACATTTCACGTTTAGGTACTAACGTAGTTTACATGTCTGGGGTTGATTATTCATTTTGAATATTAATGAACCGATGCAATTATGATGAAAAATTACAAAAATTGGTGTATTTTTCCTTATATATATATATATATATTAATGAAGTAGAAAACATTTATAAATCGACTGCTGAGCCTGAAATTTCATAAGCCTACTTGTAAACGAATCTTTGTGGTTGGTTGCTTGAACCACAACGTATGGCGATCAGAAACCAGGTAAAAATGGAAATTAGTTAAGCAGAACATAGCATAATACCTTTTGAATCCTTCTTTGTTGAGAATTTAAGTAAGCTATATACCTTCATCAAACGTAGGATAAATTAATATGAAGAAATTATGTTGCAAGAAACGTACTAATTCTATTGCCATTGACTTCAGCAAGAGTGATCTTCCTCATTTTACTTTTGGATATCTAGATCTCTTCCCTCATATCTTTCTTTGACAATCGGTCTCATCGCTTTGCCTCTCATTTTTCTACATTCTATTTCTGCTGCTGTCATCATCTGATATCTGCAACCTGTGATTGCATTATCTCTTCAATATTTATGAAGACTCAAAGATATCAAGAGAAACCAAAATCAGAATTTATGTTCTTCTCATTCATATCATTATATCACCTCAGCTTAATCTCTTGTGAAAAGATCTAAATTGCAAAATCCAACTTGGATCAAATTTAGGAATTTTCAAGCCAAAGCAACTTATTTCACCAACCTTCTTATAGAAACTATCTCTTTGTTTGTGTGTGTGGAGTTAGTAACAGTTCCAAAAACTTATAACAGTTAACTTCTTCAATAGTCTTTAATTCCTCTCACTCTCCAGAAACACTTTGAAAATTGAAAGTCCCCTCGGTTAATCAGTTATGTGCTTCAATGGAGCAATGGCTGACAAAAGATCCATAGATTAGCATTTGTATAATTACTTCTAAGTGACACAACGAAACAAAGGCAATATCTTTGTAGGGTTCAGGAGCTCCATTACAAAAGGGAAGAAAATTTTGATGGCCCCGGCAGGGTAGCTAGCTATACAGTTATGGAAAACATCAGGGCTGTTCTATTCCTAAATCACTGCTATAGCCTTGAAGTTTCCTATCTTATGAGCTCGTGGGCTTTATTGCGCCATGTCCAGTCAATGCACGTGAATCACATGATTGGGAAATCCCACGTTTCAGGATGGATTTCGAAGTCCCATAGCTCTTGTTGCAGCTGCTGTTCGCTGCTGGAATTATGCACAAACTTGTTCAGTTTCTCCTTTATTTTTTCTGCACCAAAAGTAAACATATGCGCTCCAATCTGCAACCAAAGGAAATTCAAAGCGTTTTTAGATTAACTTCAAAAATTGCACAAGCTTTCAATTTTCAAGTTTGGGAAAAAGAAAAGGAAATGATATCGGAAATTGGGAGAGCAGTGTTACCTCAGCATGAACAATGTGGACAATGGTATTCCCAAGGACCGAGAAATTGGCGTTCAGTACTTGTGCTCCTTCTTCATGAAGTATGCGGATCATCTCGTAAAACATGAACTGACAGTCTTGCCCAGTCATCAAAACCACCTCTATAGCAGAATCCGTTTCATTAATACTGATTTCAGGAGATCTCGAGACTGCTGCGGCTTCAGCTGCAGTAGTATTGGCGCATCTATGGGATCTCTTTCTTCCCGTTAGACTTTCCTTTTTCTCTCTGGATTCCTTCAACCTGGTTTGCAGGCTCTTTATGTAATTCACGGCTTCATCTATTTGATCAGGCAGTGACAATGGCTCCTGCAGTATCCACTTTGAAATTAAAACCATAAACCTTTTTTTGAAACAAAATTCTTTTACGCCAATAATGCTATAATGGATAGAGAATTAAACCCAGATATAAAAAAGAAGGAAAACCAATTAACCTTGGACGTATGACGGGGGAGTAGAGAATTGAGCCTGCAATACAAATTCTTCATATGATTTCTCCTGTTCTTCTCAATGATCTTCCTCTCAATCTTAGCCGAAGAACAACTAGAGCGCTCCATTTCCTTGTGAACCGAGTATACCATTTGAAGTTCCATCGCTCAAGAAGGCTAAGCTGTCTTACGTTGGTTTATATCCACGCAAACTAATAAAAAGGGGGAACGGAAAGTGGAAAACGCCGAAACTTCAGCAAGCGAGTGAAAGTGAGTACATGATGATGATTGATGATGGAAGGTCAAGTGAGAAAAATGAGAACACGCAGACGTCGTCACTTAGGTTACGTCAGCCGCCACTGATCAGCACTACGATAGGGGGCCAGCCGTCTATTTGGAATTAGGCTCGTAACAGTATTTACACGTGCACATCTGTTTCCTTTTAAAAAAGCAAAAACTTATTTAGGGCCCTTTTGTGCTTCCTGCCATTTCCAGGAAACAGCTCTGTTTCTTGATTTGATTCTCATATCCCATCAAATTTACGTCTTTGTGTTCAGTTTTCATCTTTCTTTTAACCAACTATGCCTAACTCTGGTGCTAACTTCCTATTAAAAAGATAACAAATCAGTAACCCTATTTCAACCACCCGTAAAGGTGTCTGTCCATAAAAATTGTTTGTCTTTCTTTCAAAAATTATAATTAAAATTTTACGTTACCGTGCATCACTGGATAAATTTGGGAAAATTAATGATTTCTTACGGCAATGATTTGAAAGAGTTTTTAAGGTCATGATTACTTCTTTTGGATTTTGTCACGTGATGCTTTAACTGTGTTGACAAATTCGTTGCGTAAGGAAAACAAATTGGTGGAAAAGTTTAGGTACATTGGGGCTAGGCTAGCCAAGCCTATCTGGTTCCATCCTCCGCCTGGTGGATCCGTGACGTAGACTCCTGAATGAGCGATGCTATTGGCGCAACATGCCCCCTTATTGGCTTCAAAAAAGGCTTAAAACACAGTCAAACTGAGCCCGACAGGCGGACAACCTGATTCGTTTTCCTTGCTGTTTTGGCAAATGCCGTGAGGGAGGGACTCGAAGAAAAAGATCTTGCTAATTTTGACTTTCCTGATTACGAGCATGGTCTGATACATGGGAAAACACTGTATGAATTGCGGCTTCACCAATTCAGTCACGACACCGTTGGGCCTCACTGGTGTTGTTATTTTCATTCAGCGTTGACTGTCATGCTGCCAGATTAAGGTTCGCTAGTGCTCTGTTTTCAGTGCATAAACAGGGGAAAAAAAGTCGGGCTGGTTAGGTGGTTGGAAGTTGGAAGGCAGTGCCATCGAACCAGCAGGTCTCCGACCACTCTTTCTGATTTTAAATGGCAATGGCTTTTCCATCATTTCCTGGAAAGTATGGGTATGTCAGCATTTTTTTTTTTTTTGCCCTTTTGGCTCAGTGCTGCATGAATTATTTCATTGCAGAGAATTGCCACAAACTGAAATTAATATAATAATATTAAATATTCACTTTTGATGTCAATTGTCCATGGTGGAAGTAGCGACTTAGAATATTGAAAGCTTCAAGTCAAGACTGATTAAATATATATATAGAGAGAGAGAGAGAGAAATTTATCCGATAAATTTTATGATAAACGTTGATTGTTGCCAATATTGGTGTAGTATTGTAATAATTATAAATTTTGGGTCCATTTCATTTTACGATCGCAATATGAGTTTTTACTAACAGTAAGCTTTAATTTTAGGCATGTGGGAAATTGTCATAGTGATAAAAATGTATATTTAAGAGGCTGTTAAGTTGTTATATGGTACGAATTCAAGAATGCTTTTATATAATATATTTCATTATATCTGGTTGGACAGAGAGAACAGAAATAAAAAAGAAAAAGATAATATCTCTATACTCTTTCTTTGATGGGAGTTTCAAAAAGTTTACTCATTCCAAGTTTTCCACTTATACTTCCTTTGGATATATATCTAAATCAAGATAGGTGTGTTTATTCTTCGCCAAGTCTTCCCTCTTATCTCTTTCTTTATGTTGCTCTTCTGTCCTGGAAAGTGGACCAAGTATGAAAATTCCTAGGATATTTCCTCAAGTCAAGACAATGGAATGGAACAGAACATGAACTCAAAGAGGTCATATATGCCAACTGCTTCTTTCAAGATTATGGGTTGAGTGTTTTTCCCCCTTTTTTTAGGAAAATGAAAAAAAAAATACTTTGGAGAGATATGTACTCACTAAATCCCTTTTCAAATGTATCCTCGACGTTCCTTGAACCATTACGTTGTGTTGGTACGGGATGACTAGCAAAGTAGTCAAAAGTTGTTTAATAGCAACTCGTGCTAGTCAACCATATAAAGCCTTAAGTCTCTGTTGTAGACTTTTTCATAGCTTCGATGAACATTCTTGTAGTCAGTAAAATATACAATGAAATAGAAAATCTAAAAGAAGGGTTTTGTTTCTTTAATATCGATCCAACACGCATCAGGAAAAAGGATACTATAAGAATTTGTAGTCACGAAATTATTTATGAAATTAACTGACTCATGCAATGCAAATTCAACCACAGCATGAAATTTGGCACTAGAATTCTTCCTCACAGTAGGAACTTAAAATATTATATATATATATATATATATAGTAGTTAAGTTAATGAAATATAAAATATGAGACTTATGAATTTCCAATTCTGTTATATGTTCATAAGTTGAATCGAGTAAGTCTTCTTTTTCACTTACAATTACAAAAAAAAATTAAGATCAAGGGGACCAAGGTATGACATGACCTACTAATAGTCGATTGGTTCTCATTTCCTTTGGAAAGGGGAAACTCAATTTCGGAAAGACATAATAATGACAAGAACATGAATGGTATTATCAATTGTTTTTCAGTTGTCACGCATAAATGCATGTTAGGGTAGATTTCTGTTTAAGCCATTCATACCTCCTATATGTGGTCACAAGCAATGCTTCTTAACTTAAAGCAAATATGTCACAAATCGAGTTAAGTTCAATTGACACTTCTAAAATTTAAGTTCGAGTTCAAGTTTGATTTGTTCATTTAAATTAAATTTATTGTAAAAATATTTTAAATTTTTTTAAAAATTAAATAAAATATTTTTTATTAATTAATATCATGATTTCTCAGATCCGATTAGATCAATCCCAGATCTAAAATATAGTGGACAGATCCGACCTGGACAGATCTAACTTGGAGGGCATGGTGGGGTAGAACTGATTCTACCTCCTGGGCTCAAAGATTAATTGGGTCTTTTTCTCTTTTTCCCTTGTCCACTCATGCTTGTTGGGCCCCAACTCTTGTACTCTGAGGCTTTCTGGATCTGGGACATTCAAAGAACTGAATGGATAGCAAGTAAGAGAATTGTTTGTGCTAATCGTGAAATTCAATTTGTAGAGGGCATGAAGGATCCTAGAACTAAAAGTGCTTTAAAACAACTAAAAATCACCCAACTCTAACATATTCTCATATGTCAACTCCAATCATGCATGTATTGTTGCTTTAAAATAAATAAATTCATCAAAAGCGATTGGAACCTGTACAGAGCGCTGCCATGTGTTTGCCATTCAGCCAGACCCATGCTGCGCACGGTTAGGCCGCGCCCACCGCACTGGCCTAACCGCATCAGGGACCAACGGGTTGTGTAGCACGAATGCAGTACAACCCTTTTTCCTTTAATTTTTCCTCTTTTGTCTTGACTTTTTCACTTCCTTTTTATTTTTTCCGCCTTGTACCGTAGTTCGCTTTTTCTCACTTTATTATATTTTATGTTTATTATAACTAAATATATAATTAATTATACAAATAATAAATACCTACAATATTATTAAATATCAAAATTTTAACACAAATTGTTAATATAATATGAAATTAATTGTGTTAATTATGTTATGTTGCGATAATAAGTGTACTATGTTTGTACCAAAGCCTTCCTTGACATGATTAACTAATCATGTTCATGTGGACTCATTTATCTATATACTCTTAACTTAATAATGATGATTATAAGTTATTAACACAAATTTTCAATATTGATTATAATCATAAAATGTATAATCAACTTATCTAATAAATTGATAAATATTACATAAACAAAAAATACATGCATGATTAATTATGTGAAAGAAAAATATATAAGTTCATAATAATTAAAAAAACTATTATCTTATTAATTTTGAATATGCCTAAAATATACTATTATAATCATTTGATATAAGAGTGACTTTTATTAAATTTCATTCATTTTTTATTAGCTTTCTAAATGTCAAATATATTATAAAGTTACATAATATATCAACTTTATTCTAATTTTTTTTATGATAATTTTTTCTTCTCACCACATCTTAACATATGGTTATTGTTGTTTTTATTGCTAAATTTTGGCCATACTCAGAGAAAAGAACGAAATTCAAAAATTAATAATTAAAATTGAATAGTGCAATGAAAGTAAACATAAAAAATCAAAACTTTCATAAAATCACTTATTTTGACATTTGATCAGATTAACACTCATATATACAAGCAAATTATTAGAATAATACCTTTAATAGTGATTTCCATAAATCACAAATCATGACCCCTTTTCTTTATTGCACACCAAAGCCTGGTTGTCGCAAGCTGAAGCTATCCATGTGTCACACATGGTGTTCAATCAAGAATAAGGGTTTAGTGATCCACACAAGTGACAAATGAAAAGCCTTTTTTCAAGGTAGGGATTATGTGTTTGCCGTGAAGCCATATGAGTGACCAAAATTTCATAAATCTCACCTTTCAAAGAATCAGTTTTGATAGAAAAGATTAAAAAAAAAAATGATTCTTGGAACCCTCTTACAAAAACGTTTCTTAGGCTTAGGGAGCTTTTTCGATTTTTTGTGTAAGTATTTCTCACCTCTCATTCTTCTTATATGGCGCAACATCTACATTTAAGTATTTATAGTTAGGTTAAATTGCTGATCCAACTTTTGATTAATTATAATTTAACCCATGTATTTAATTAAACCATTTAATTAAGTTCATATTGGAAATTTCAAATTTTAGATTAAGCACAAATCTCATTTTAATTTCACATTGTCACCTTATTATGTATGACACATGAGGCCCTCAACATGTTGATAATAAATATAAATTAATCCAATTACTTATGTTTATAGACCATGAGCAGCAT